TGGATACTTAAGTAGAGGGTAAAATGGGTTTTGTGAGCGAGTTATACACTCTGCTTTTCACTTCGATTGCGAGGAAATGAAACAGCAATATTACAAATAAACGATTATTTAATTAAAATTGAATGTAAAATTACAACAATTAGACATATTTAATGTGATGGTTTTTTATTTTATGCATTAGATGATAAAATTCTATTTTATGTACTAGAGCATAAAATCCTATTTTATGCAGCCTACACCCAGCATGAATACGAACTTCAGAACAGAAATCATATCACATGGTTTCGTCACAACGTTTTCATTTACTATTAAGAGTCTATACAAGCTCAAATGGCTTTGGTTCATTCCGCATAATAGTGAAAGTGTTGAACCAATCGCTTTGGTAAAAATATATAGTAAAATTTAGAATATACACTGATTACTATACAGTGTGAAAATACGATTCCTAAAAATTTTCACGATAGAAAATAAACACAAACCTACCTCGAAATTTTACAAGAAAACCGCTATATTCAATAGGTACATACTTTACATAAACCAATGATATTTTTTATATCAACTGAACTAAATAGAACACGTATAGTATACGATGTAGTACATTTTTCAAATGGCTTTAATTCCGTTTGTAAAACAATTAATTCTAAAATAAAACTACTGTCCCTGCCCATTGACTTACAATTATATGGATGTCGGGTATACAGAGCGTCATTCACGCTTTAGTCTTCGTTTGATTGACTGACAGCGAAGCAAGCAAACTTAGACAGTACTGCGACGACATTACAATTTAAATTCAACGTTTTAGCTTTTTTATATTCCTTTACATGTCACTACGTTTAAATAGGTTGACTTGGGACATTTTTTTTGTTGGTTTTTGTATTAGACCCGTCGTCCATTTATTTGTAAGTCAATGTCCCTGCCACTCGACCCAAGCAAAATGAGCCGTATAAGTACAAGAAAAAATTAAATTCGAGCTGAGTTAGTTTCGATTCTTAAGTTTCTTTACCTCTCATCAATAGAAAATTTAAGCTCGCTCAGCTTGGCCACTACACTGAAGTTATTTAAAAGTAGACATACCCTCATTTTGACACACTTGTCCATCTCGGGATCGCTAGTCACGCAGAGCACTGCACGTTTCACAGGACAGTCTCTGATTTCCAAAACCGCTCGCTCCGCTTGGTCGCCTACGAATTGATTGTTGAGTATGTGTTTTGCAGCTTGCTCTTCTTCTTTTAACACTCTGAAGTTTACTGTTGCATCCTGTAAAATTTTAAATAGTCTTGAAAATCTTGGAAGGTATACATTACTGACGGCCTCCGTGGTCTCAGGTTCGATTCCCGACCCGGTCAATGTAGAAAAACTGAGTTTTTTATATTGTTTCGGGTCTGGGTGTTCGTGATACCATCGTTGCTTCCGATTTCCATAACACAAGTGCTTTAGTCACTTAGGGTCGTATTCCAGGGCTCTACTCAAAACTCAAGTCAGGACTTGAGTATTGCAGTGAGACTGAAAATCATACTCAAGTCCTTGCCATTAGGGTCGTATTTCCAGTGCTTGAAATCATACTCAAGCCTGCTCAAGTCCTGACTTGAGCATTGAGTAGAGTTCTAGAATACGGCCCTTAGTTTGGTCAGAAGCAACGTTGGTGATGTTGTCTACTAAAAAATATTACTTAAAATCTGTTGACTGTACAACACCTTGATCTTCACGTTTTATTTATCACTTTGTATTTATAGTTTAATCCCGAAAAGAAAGATATTACCGAAAATTTCAAGTGTCAGACAAATGTATTTATTATTTTACTGTAGTACTGAAGTGTTTCTGTTAGCTCTAGAAATAAATGAGGCCGCTAATATCCATCATAACATTTATTCTTCGCAGTTAAAATAAAATTCACACAGCCATTTTCCTATTTTATACAGAGACAATGAAAAGGGGCGAAAACGGAACAACACTAGTCTTTTTTAATATAACAAACAGTTACGACTTTGATAGTAATTAGCACATTGTAAAAAAAAATATATGCCTACTAAAGAGTCTCATGGCAAAATATTCTTTTTTTTTTTGCCTTAACGAATAGCTTGTGAGATTTCGAGACAATTGTCTCAATTCTGCCAGTGTCCGTTTCATAAACATCATGGTGGGAGTGTATACAGAAAATTTGTTCCGTGACTTAGAGAGAGTATCAATGAGATTTTTGAACTTAGCAAAAGATTTTGAAGATTTTGGTAAACAAATGATTAAGGATTTGACTTTAATATTTAATTAATATAGATATTAGTTAAATGTATCTGCTGGAATATCTGAAATGAATATTTTCGTATCCGAGATAATTTATATTTTAAAGTAAAGACTTTACGCGGCTCTCACTGAAATACTGAAGACTTAAACTGAAGGATCTTACATTGACGATTTAAATCGAAACATATTTACTGAAGAAAAGGAGAAATTAATGACTAGGCAATATGGTCTCTGACCTTCGCCTGTTCCATGCGGAACGAAGTAAAAAAAAAGGTTTTGGTAATTAATTATAAATCATAAAGATGGAAAAAAATAAAGGAAAAGTAAACAAACTTTAGCTGTCACTTGCAGGCATCACAAACGTTACAACTACGTTTGCCGTCGAATTAACCGGTCAAGTACAATATTTAGTAGTTAGTTTCATACGTCGTATTACTGCTGTACTCTATAATGTGGTCGTTAGCTGTCTATCTTTTTAAAGGCTTCGGACTCCTGGATTGTTAAGTTCTTAATCGTGGGAAAGTTGTGATATGTGATTTTAAACATCTTATTTAAACATTTGATCTACGTTGTTTAGATTTAAGTATTTACTAGTATTTTAAATACGTTGTTCGATGTTGTTTATTATCTGAAAGTATTATCATATATTTAGAACCATTTTCAAAAACATCGTTATAATTTTACAATATGTAACCAGGTAATGATTCATAAAATTCCTCATTACGGTTAATTTACATTTAGTTAATACACATATTAAACTTTTATAGTATAAGGAAAGCAAAGGGTGTAATTGTGAAGATTTAAAAACGTTCTCACACATTTCAATGTCATTACCGCTACGCAAAGATGCCACTGAAGTAGGTCTGACTTTGTAAAGACAAACCAGATTTCAAACCACATAATTTCGCAACCAATTCTGATCTTTTAGAAATTTGGACAATTTCTGAGCTTTTCCATTCAAGTTATTTGGGCGTTGGTTGATAGAGTTGAGCAACTTACTTGCAACAACAGATCTGTAGTGCCGTTAGATTCGAACATTTGAAACGGCAACTCAATACGGCGGCCTGAGGCGTCCGTGCGAACCTGGTATGGCGGCATTTTATTAATTCTGAAATTGAATAGAAAACATTTTTTTAAATCAAAACATCGTATAGGGAATGAAATTATTTTTCCGGATTTAAATAGCGTATATTTGTTTTTTCAAACAAACCGACGTTTCGGGCCCTTTACAGGTCCCACGGTCGCGGTTGACTGAGGTGGTACAGTCATCGACCAGTTATGTCTAATATTAATGCAAACCACCCTATTATTTTCGCTATAGTTACAAAAGTTATTAATTAAATGCCTTATTTTTAATTTTACAAAGAAACATTCAAATTTACCCTACATTTTTTTTTTCAAATTATTTTATTGTAAAAATATGAAAAGAAGAAAAATTTATTATTAATTAATAATGGCAACTAGAATCAATTAAAACATATTCATTTTCTGTTTGGGATTTTTCATCAGAGGATATACTGTTTTATGACTTTATGTCTGTACCACCTCAGTCAACCGTGATCATAGGATTTGAAAAGGGCCCGAAATGTCGGCATGTTTGAAAAAAAAAAATACGCGATTTAAATCCGGAAAAATAGTTTCATTTTCTATGTATAACAATCGCGAAAACCTAAGAACTCAAAACATCATTGTGTGCACCATGATACTCTGGTCAGGAAATTTCGCCATTATAGTGTGGTGGGACGTGACCTCGACTGTAGGGTACAGAGGGTCAATGTTAACGGTACGAGATCGTCAGGGTCTGCAATTAGCATGGCTGTCCCTCAAGGTTGAATTCTAGGTTCATTTTTGTTTTTAGTTTATATTAATGACTTACCTAGCTTCATGGAGGGTTTAAAACATGAGATAGTATTGTTTGCTGATGATACTTCATTATTATTTAAAGTTAAGAGGCACCAAAAAAAAAACCAAAAGTTCCTACGACGATGTGAACAATACTATATCTAAATTAGTTGATTGGTTTGCTGTTAATAACCTGCTCCTTAATGAGAAAAAAACAAATTGTGTGAAATTTACATTACCCAATGTTAGAGTGACGGTTACAAACATTGTAGTTAGAAACGAAAAATTGAATCTTGTGGGTACAGTTGTATTTCTAGGTATAACGTTAGATGCTAAATTGCAATGGGGCCCACATACAAGTAAGTTATCAAAACGGCTCAGCTCTGCAGTGTACGCGATTAAAAAATACGGAAACTTTCAGACGCCGAAACCGCTAGATTAGTTTACTTCAGCTACTTTCACAGTCCAATGACATACGGCATTTTGCTTTGGCGTAATGCCGCCGATATCAATAGAATCTTTGTCCTGCAGAAACGTGTGGTTAGGGCAATTTACAATCTGGGCCCCAGAGTATCTATGAAAGATAAGTTTAAGGAAATTAATATTGTTACACTAGAATCTACATCATCTATGAAAATGTAATTTATGTTAAGAGGAATAGTAATCTCTTTATGAAAAATAGTGACAGACATACAGACATAACATTAATACGAGCTATAAAAATTAACTATTCTTGATAGTCGTCTTCACAAAGTGACAAATTCATTTAAGGGCGCAATGTATACGCTTCTATAACAAGATTCCGGTTGATAAACAAAATTTGCCATTCACGAGATTTAAAACTATAGTGAAACAAAAACTTTATACTAAAGGTTATTATTATATTACAACTTCTGCGTATTGGATGACAAAAAACATCTGTAGTAACACGTTTCGCTCATGGAGGTAGTCTCGATTTCTGATGTTTGAAAGCAAAAAATATATATTGTAAATGTTGAATGCGTACAAATGTTATTTACAAAGAGCAACCCCTAGAGTTTCTTGCTCATTCTTCTCAGGGGAATCTGCCTTACGAATGAGCGGTAGAGTTTAACCACTATGACGATTTCAAGTGTTATAATGCTTACCTAGGAAATAAAGATTATTTTGATTTTTGGTTTTGATCGTAATTTGCAATAATAGGTACTGAACTTTCAATGGCATGCCAACTTGGGTAAAGTTTAAATTATATTAACAAACCAGAATTTGAATGAGAAAAACATGTATTTTTAAATTGGAAACTACGACCAATCAAAATCAAGATTTCGTATTGTTTAGAATTATGATAGTGTGAGTTTGGTAACAGCGGTTCTGATAGTAATCGAGGCTAAGGCCCTTCCATTGTTTTTTTTTGCGTGAATCAACACTACGCTAACTTAAAAATTCCAACTTTCTCACTTTTTTTCACCAGAGCCTATAAAAGGGAAACTAAGAAACTTGCGAAATCTTTTTAATTTTCAAACATATGTTGTTGATTTTTTTATTACAACTTTTGTAACTTTTTGTATTATTTTCTGAACAATTTGGCACCACAGAAATCGAAATAATTTAGATTTCTGTGTTAGGCACTACAAAAAAAAAAATCGTCAAAATTGGAGTTAGCCTAGTGTTAAACTGTTGGTGTCAAAATGTCGGCTGACATATTGGTAAACTCAGGCACACGAATTTGGTTAACACGGTCAACATGTTCGGTAATTAATTAGGCACTTTACTGTGAAAGACAATTTTGTATACTACGTACCTACTTTCATCCTCTGTTTCACTCTGCTGACTATCCTGATTCACTCTCCGGTAAGGGTCGTAATACCTTTGTGGTTCAGTTGTAGATGTAAATGGATTGTAAGGGCTCCGATTGGATTGGAAACCGTTGGTGTTGTTCAAGTTCTTGTTAAGGGAATTCGGTTCACCATAGAGTTGCAAAAGTTTTTCAAAGAACTTTTGGTATCTGAAACAAGTTTTCATATAAATATAAAGGGTGTAAAATTAAATGTGAAAATATAATTGGCGAATTAAACAGTTTTCATACTATTATTGTAATGTGCAGGGTTGTCACAGACCTTTGTGACTTTACTTCCTCCGGTTCTAGAAAGGCTAGTGCTTCGGGTGTGCCGCCCCGTATACCCTGCCTATTTTCTAAATAGGTACCGAAGCTGTAGGCACGCTCACTGCCACTGGGGGGCAGTAGGGACCACTTTGGGAAAGTATGACCTCGCGCTATAAGTAGTCCTCCTGCTTTACTTACTTCTTTCGCTGCGCCTGTGAGGCGGCGCTGCTGGTGACGACGGCGTCGGCCGGCACGCGGCCCCAGTTGCACGCCTCCCACTGCGTGAGCGGCGCCCGCGATCCGTCGCGGCACAGCAGCTCGAAGCGGTCGTCAGTCGCCCCGGCTGCAGATTGCATTGCGTACAGAAAAGACATTTCTGGTCCTGGGGCCCTACTCTCGAAGCACGGAATCAGTAGTTACGGCCGTTTTCCCACTACGGATGGCATGAACATATTTAGCGGAACACTAGTAAAATTCCCAAAATAATACAGTGTTTCTTCTACTACTACGTCTGGTCGCTTATTTTTTTAAACTAAATTACAATTTGATCTTTATTTTATTTTTATAATTTGTGTCAATTTCCTTCTAATACAGATTTGTTGAGTGGTTCTAAATTGATAATGCGTTATTTTAAATTTCGTCATTTTAGTTGGATAAGTTTTTTAAGAAAGTTTCAGATTGAAAAGTTTGTTTTTGGTAAATTTACTATGTTTTAAAAAAAGTTATGAATCAAAAATTGTTGTTTACAATGTTAGTAACGTAGTTCCACAAGGTTATTAGTATTTTACAAATAACCCTTTAAACAACTTATTCTGAATTTCTAATCACATTTCATAATACACAGTTAGGAACAAACAGATGTTTTGTTTGTTGAGACCTTTGTGACATTCCTTTTTACACAAATAAAATAACAACATTCCAGTGCATCGGTCATTAGCAAAGATGCATTAGAGAGTGCCGTTTTTTGTACACTGCTACACTGCAGTTTGCACACAGGTAAATACACAATTTACTTTCATATCTTGAGGTACTTACCTAGTATCTTGTGTGATAACAAAGCGTGTTGTACAGTTGTGTCTCTGACGAAGGCAATTTCTCCTGTTCCATTAGCGATTAGGCACTTGAGAGCACCAACATATCCTGCATGAGGGTCTTGTAAGGTGCAACGCACACCCGCACCACCAACGCAGAGTCGGCATAACCTAGAAAAATATATTATAAATATACATTTGTTTGTGTTGGATTGTCCTGAGCTAACCGCTTTGTATTGGTCTATGTGCCTGCCCGATTCGTACAAGACATATGCGCACCTTGCACACAGGAGCGAAACACTCTGTTTTGCATAGAATTGTGCGTACTTACGAGGACAAATTTAAAGACATTGATATTTTCTTTTTGAACTGCAACATATTTATTAATTCTTTGAAGGAACACCCCCACACACAGCACAAACACATATACACATATACACACATTCATACATATACATATACACCTTCACACAAGTAGACACACAAATGCGCATACTCTACTATAGTCCATTTGTTTATTATATAGTAAGTCGCTTCATTTAAAAAATTTAAATCTATTAATACAACGGAATTCAGTTATAATATGTATTTCAATTTGTTAGATTGTTCTTTGATAAACAATATTTTAAGTTGCTTCGTTCTAGCATCGAATTAGTTTTTATGTAACGTAAAAAAAAGAATTGTAATCTGACAAACTTTGTAATTGGATGAATGATGGAATTGTAATTAGATTATTCCAAATTGTGAACCAAATTTAATTAAAGCTGTAAAGTTTGCAAATAAATAAATAAATACATATAGGGTAGTTGAGCTGTTTGAACATTAATAATATTGTGGATATTATAAAAGTTTCCCCGTTTTAAAAACGAGTTAGTCAAAAGACTTCGTAAGTGGCTGAAACGCTTAACGCGAAAGTCAAGAGAAATAAGAAAAAAAGTCTAAGGAGACTATTCCGGTACCCCCTAGATGGCGTTGAGCAATTTTTGATTGGTTTCTAAATCGTGGTGTTATAATTTTCCCTGTCTTGTTTATAGGAATGTGACATTCGTGCTGTCGCAACAGGAAACGATAATGTCATCAATTTTTTAATCTGAAATTTAATTTATTCCGTTTGCAATTCTAAACAAAAACTTTACAAGTTGAAAAGATTTCCGTTCAACAACAAAAAACCTTGTATAAAATGGACATAAATATTGTCGAAAGAAAGGTGTCAAAATCATAACTGTACATACAATGTTGTAAGGAACATTAAAGGAAACCTTTAAAATGCCATATTCACAATTTGCATTTGTGTAACGAGAAACAACAAAATAAATTTGTTTATTACTTGACATACTCATATTGGAGCTACTAAAAAGGAGAAAGCGAAAGTAAGACTTTTAGAAAGTACGAAATTTCTTTGAAGCACTTCAGTGGTTGTTAAAATCTCTTTTCATGCATATTACAAAAAATGAGGTCCCGTTAAAAACAGAAACAACAATAAACATAAATGAAAAAATATTACTTTATTTGAATAAGCACTTGACAGTGCTTTAAAACTTACTGGTCAGAATTATCACCAATAGGGTTGTACATGTCCTTTAGTGAGTTTGGTGCGCAGGAGTCGCCGAAGAAAGCAATTGCTGATTTTACGTGATTGTTACAATCTGTTATCTGGAGACCGCCTTCTTGCATTAACTGTAACATAAGAGTTATTTATTATAAAATTTTTTGCTGTTATTCTACAATTTAAAAATAAAATAGGCATTTAAGTTAATTCTCAAGACTGATTAGATTAAGTTTTTTTAAGAAAATGGAAAGAACAACAAGACTATATTTAGCGCATGCGCCGACACGTAAATATTTGAATATTCGGAATTTCAAATCAAAATATAGCATGCCTCTCTTTAACTGTACCTCTATTAACTGACTTTTTAATTAGAATAAGTGGTTGGTAGTAATCATCGAGAATGTCCTCGATGGTAGTAGCAGGTTGAAATCAATCTCTGTCACTACAATACAAAGTCAACTTTCGGGAAATGACGTTTAAAGTTTATGAAGTAAAGTCAAGTTTTGTATGGATATGGCTATATATGCGTTTCACGTGAAGATTTCGCCAACGTCAGGGTTGGAAGACGCAGTGCTATGATGGGACAAATTGACTTTGTGATTGAAACATTTTAGCGATTATTAAAATTAAACAAGACAACGATGATAAGAAACACCACCATAGATAATATAACAGGCGCGACTTAAATTTTTGCACTCCAAAGTACTCGTATGTAGCAAAATAGGGTATTTTTCTATGATAGGTTTTGCATGAGATAATTGACACGACTATAACGTGCAAAGCGAAAAAGTGCGGACTGAGCTCAAGTATGTAGAACTCCGCGTACTGTTGGCACACGTGACACGTTATTGTTCTGTGGGTATTATTAAAGTCAAAGTCAATCATTTATTCCATAGGTAAAATAAATTTACACTTGAAAACGTCACATTTACATTACATTACATTAAGCTACTGCTCGTTCACTACGCTGACTTCACTGAGAAGAACGAGCCAGAAGCTCTAGGGATTGTTCTTTTCAAACAAACTTAAATGCTATGGAATACACTGAATCAAATTTGTGTGGATTCTGGAGCCGTGTCGTTTTTCCATACATCTTTTTCTAATACGTAGTCTTCAATTTTGTAATATGACTTTTCAATCAAAATATTTTTAATGTAGTTTTTAAACTTAAAAAATGATAATCTTAATATATGCTCCGGAATCTTATTGAAAAAACGTATGCAGTTCCCAATAAAAGAGTTGTTTACCTTGGTTAAACAAAATCGTGGTACCATGAATTTGGACTTAGGTCTAAGGTTAATATTATGTATATCTTCTTTCTCATTGAAACTATGTATATTTTTATGGGCATATAAAATATTTGAGTAAATGTACTGTGATGCCCCAGTCATGATACCAGTCTCCTTAAACTTTTCTCTGAGAGAAATTCGAGAGTCTAGACGGTACACAGAACGAATCGCTCGTTTTTGCAATTCAAATATGGTTTGAATATCTGCCGCTTTACCCCACATGAGAATCCCGTAGGACATTATACTATGGAAGTAACTAAAGTAAACTAGTCTAGCAGTACTAACATCGGTAAGCTCACGCATTCTGCGGACTGCGTATGCAGCGGTGCTTAATCTGCTGGCCAGGGAAGATATATGTGGAAACCATTGAAGTTTACTATCTAAGGTCACTCCCAAGAATACTGCTTTATTAACAAAGTCTAACTTTTCTTCGTTTATTTCTATGCTTGGACTAGTCGATTTTACGTTAGGTAATTCAAATTTAACACATTTTGTCTTCTTGGCATTAAGCAATAAATTGTTAGCATTAAACCAATAAACTACCTTAGAGAGGGTATCACAAATAAGGTCATAGTTAATGTCATGTCAGTCTGTAATAAAAATCAAGGACGTGTCGCCAGCAAATAATACTATTTCGCAATGGTCCTTAACAAAGAATGGCAGATCATTAATATAAATCAGAAATAAGAAAGGTCCAAGTATTGAGCGGAACACCCATTTTTACCGGAGAACCCTTACATTTTTACTGGAGACTTACTTAAAGTTATAATTTTAAATAAATCTCAGATATAATAAAGATGGTATTTTTTAAACTTACCACATGAATAGGCATGACCCAACCAGCCAATGATCCGACACTGGGGAAACAGGCCTTCACTCCTCTAAGACCATGAAGAGCTTTATAGCCAGGTTGCACATGAGGTAGACTACCCTTGTTGATGACTGCTATTGCATATTGATAGGGTTCCCCACTATTGTAGAGCTGTGGTTAAAGGGGAGATTTGTTTTGTAAGTAATTTAAAATTTGTTGGTTTTACTTCTATAATATACTGTATCAGCTTATATGATATGTGTGTCCTTCAAGAAGAGAGTTTACGCAATAGTATCTGAAGCTGGATGGGGAGAACTGGAAGTCACTAAAGGAGGCCTATGTCCAAAGATAAGTTGACAAAGAGAAATGTTGTACACAAATTTATTATGAATTAATAATTTTGCAACTATTTATTTTATGTATTAATTTTTAAATAATAAATAAAAGACAAAATATTTTTTCAATTACTTATAAAAAATATCAGAATTAAGAACATTACTTTTACAAGTACGTCATAAGCAGAGACTACTTAAATTTTCTTCAAAATAACGACATTTTATGATGTTTCCTTTGTGGCTCATTATTGCAGCTTGCCTTTTCAGCTCATCATGGACAAGGTTTTTAGTTACGCATTATGTTAAAAACTTGCAGCGCTCACTTTATTCAACTTAAATAACTTTCACACAAGTTTGCTAACGGAGAGAAGTGGAAAAGGCACCAAATTATATTAATATGGCATTGCCACTGTGTAAGAATTACCTCTTGCAAAATAGGCACGAGTGAGTGGAACCTTCCTGCGACATACACTTCTCCAGCGTCTAGGCCCAGTAGAGATGCCTGACCTTGGTCCAGCCAGTTCATGCACTCTTCGGTGTCAAATGCCTGCAAATAAGATATTATTTTAATGTGAGAAAGAATCTGGGGCAAACAGCTTGATGTAGTAAAATCAGCTTGAGTTAAGAAATCTTACACTTCTTGTAACTCTGTTGGCCTTAGCTTAAATTGTTCTTTACTAATGATGGGGTACACTGCGCACTGGCATAAGCCTTTCAGGTATAAGCCACCTTAACAATAATAACAATTCGGCATTAACAATGATATCTATGTACGGACATTAAGTAATATGGCAGATGCTTATAATTCTACAGACTACAGAAAGGAATACAATATTAATACCTAACAATATAACAGAAAACATTTCATGTTCTCGACTTTTTACATTATTCAAATTATAGTTCCGTTTTCGGTTATTTATATTATTGAAATTATGTACAGATGAGTCAATCGGACTGAACTGAAGGTACAGTACAAAAAAAAACATGAAAAGAATAAAAGTTTTTACTTATGTCTAATCTACTTGAGAAAGCATTAAAACAATTTATAATATATATAATAAATGTAACATTAAAAATTTTTACTAAATCCAATTGTCATAGTTTCCATTTGGTCCATTTGGTTAATTTAGTCGAAAATGACAAAGTCGACAACCATTTCTTCTATTATGGCACATTAATTTATAAAAAAATGTTTGTTTACCCTCTGACACTGCAATTCAATATAATCCTTCTCAAACAATCCTTTATCCAAGAGAACAGTCTTCATGAGCTTCTCACATTTGGCTTGCTCCAAGACTGATGTGGTGCACCAAGTGACCATATCTTGGCCTTCCACCTTTGGTTCATTAAATAGGCTGTTTGGGACATTCTCACTGCCGTAGTAGTCGCCATTTACTATTACTGTAAATTTTTTTAAGAAAAATGTTGACTGTAGGACTAGAATAAATGCATTGTGAAATTAAACAATAAATGTGCACCAAGGCGTAATAACTCACTTTTTTTTCTGAAATGGCAGGTTTTAGTAGTTACATTTTTATACGAATTAATTTTTAGTTACGTAGTGCGTTTCTTGATTATTTGTTACTATTAAGCTGATGGCTCTGAAGCAAATGCCTTAATAATAAATAAATGTAACAACTGAAAAAACCTGTCAAACAGTTTTTACACAAAATATTTTTTTTAAGTATGTTTGAGTTTCTTAATTATTTGTTACATTTTTAAGCTGAGGCTTTATAGCCAATGCTCAATAAATAAATAATAACTGCAACAACCTTAAATTTAATTGGTGTTCTCATCTAAGTGTACATATTGTTCAATTTCTTGTTTTATGGTAATGCAACTAGTCTAATGGGAAGACTTAGAGAAACATTCTTGTATTATTTTTTAAATATTCTTCAAATGAATAGTGTGTAACGTTAGGGAGTGACTGTAAATAGGAAACGTCGATAATTATGACTCATAGAAATGTTTTTACTGGTTCTCTTTGAAAATTAAGATCGCAAATAGTAAAAAATACATAACAACACTGTTTATACACTGATTAATACGAGTTTTCATACAAAAACGAAACTGTTTAAGTTTGGGTAAAAAACGTTTAAAATAAGATTTTCTTATTTACCAATAAGCGTTAGTAGTAGAATATAAGTAAGATTCCTCTCCATTTTTAACAATGATGGATTGTACACTAAACACACTAATTATTTATCGTCATTTCGTGAGAAAACAAACGATTAAAATTTTTGGACACACCCGTAACCGCAACAACAACAACTGACCGAATGAGCGAATGGATTTTGGTAAGATAATTTCGATCATTCATTCCAACTGGTTATCCGTGTTGCCATTTGCATGGCTTACGGTTCATCAAAAACCAGTAACGAGAACGTATAAAAACCATGAAACGAAAATAGCTTACTATTTGACGTTTCTGGGTATTTTCAATGGAATCTTAAAATTCACATGATTTTTAAAAAATTTTGGTTTCATGTGCTTAGCATACACCGTTATATATAAAAGAACACAAATTTTGTTTGTTACTATATAGGAATAAATTCTAATAAAGGTGAAAAGAATTTTTAAAAGGCTCGTTGGAACTAATTAAAACCTAAAGAATATTTGTGTCTATAAAAGACTTCCTACTTTGACAGCTCTCTGCGTTCGATGGGGCGCATTATCGAAAAAAATTTCTGTTTAGTTCTCACGGAGAGCGTTTTGGAAATTAATTAGTAAGTTTTCTAAAAGATAATCAATAGTACATTTAAGTACAGACTTATTTTGCTCTCCCACGTTACCTTTCGATTGAAAATCTGATTTTGTTGTTTGCCAGGTTTGAGTCACTTGTTAAGTTCGACGAAACACGTGGTAAAGTTTGTTTTATTTGGTTTAGAGATGGTCGTGTTTACATGTGGACATTGCGGAGAGTCTGTGCAAAAGCCGAAAGTCGAGAAACATTACCAGACGAAATGTAGAAATCGGAATCCCAACTTATCCTGCATGGACTGTTTTAAAGATTTTATGTAAGTATTTCTTGTAGGAAATAGAAATATATACATATCAAAATAGAGTCACATGCACAGACGGCGGCACATGAAGCTACACATTGACGCATCTTGTTCCATTGCACTGGAGGCGATATTCGAACAAATATAGTTAGATGTATTGTTGACTGTACATAAGTTAAATAGGCTGGAGTTTGGGGCGAGCGATCTTTGATGTCGCGTTGAGAATACTCGTTTGACGGCCTTCACCCAGTACGTTTATTCTGTACTGCTGATAGAAACCACATAATTTTGATTTTGTGTTGCAAAATATTAAATGCATTTCGATTTTTAGGTTTGGGAGAGTAGATGATGGAACTGGCTGCCAAGCTTGTTTAAGCTAGAGTGGCAGATTAAGTCTAATAAAGCCAATACAATATTTGTGTCAATCTGCAAGTAAAGGTAACTTATGCAGAAGAATGCGTACATTTCAAACATATATGACTCGCAAAACCAACATGAGGTACTCTTACTTGTGACATGACACATTATTCGTAGTTTACAATGGTTTTAGTAATTTGCTTTGTGAATTTTCAATATATATCTTGTTTTCACATCTTGTTGGTGCTTTATAATATATACACTGAAAGAACTTAGTTTGCTTTTTAACAATAGGGTCTGCTATTCCACTTTATTGTTTTTTGGTTGTCTAATAGTTTTATGGTAGAAATAAGGAAAACAGAAATAAAATAAAATGTAACTTTTCTATTTTCAGAGGGAAAGATTATGAATCGCACACAAAATGCATTACAGAAGAAGAACGTTATGCGGCCAAGGGTTTTCAGGCAAAGGAGAAAAAGGGTGAAAAGAAACAAAATACTTGGGTAGAAATGCTTCAATCTGTTTTAGACGAGCAGAGGAATGCTCCTGGAAATGTTCGGAGAATCATAGAGACAGTTAGCACATTCAATAATACACCACGCAAAAAGCCGAAGTTCATTAATTTTGTTAAAAATGTATGTGGGAATAAGACCAACCCTAAAGACATTGACCAAGCATGGGACTTAATTTCTGTTAAACTTTCTGCTTTATCTACTAATAACCAGAATAAAAATCAAAATCAAGATGCTTGTGATGACAATAAAACTATCAGTGAAGAAAATGAAGACAAAATTCTTGATAATAGTAAGTCTGAAGAATGTAAAACTGAAGTAACAGAAGTTGAAAATATAGAAACAGAACTGGATAAAAATGGAGCTGTTGAAAATGTAGGCGATGCAAATAAGAAATTATCTAAAAAACAACGCAAAGAAGAAAAAAAACGTAAGAAGTATGAGGCTGAACTACAGAGTGCTGAAGCACCTGTACAGGAAGAAGATGTTGAAGTAACTACTAAGAAAGGTAAGAAAAAGAAGAACAAGAGTGAATCAAGCAATGGAGACATAGAAGAAATTCCAAGTGGCAAAAACAAAAATAAACGTAAACGTCAAGATACTGCCAATAGTGTTCCTGATGTACAAGAAAGTCATGATCTGGAAAACACTGAAAATGTTGAACCCGTTTCTAAAGATAAGGTTTCAAAGAAAAAGCCTAAAGTTGAAGAGGAGGAGTTAGATGAAAGTGTTTGTCTTCATGATCAGAATGTAGCCAAAATTGAAGAATTATCCATGAATACTGAACAAAAATTCAATTGGCATGCAGTTATTTTATCAGTTCTTGAGAAAAAAGGTAATGAGTTACCTTTTAAACGATTACAGAAGAGAGTTCTCATGGAGTTTACTGAAGCAACTGGTCAAGAAGTGGATGACCGTATTGCAGACAAGTTTATAAAAAAATTGAGAAGTGCGCCTAATGTGCGTGTTGATAAAAACAGGGTGTACATTCTTGATTAAAATTATCTTTAGTCATTCTTCAGAGTGTAAAGCAAATGTGTTCAAATTAAATAATTGTGATAATTTGGAGTAGAGATGTGGATATTTTGGTTACAAATTGATACTTGATTTAATCGAAATTTCTATTATTTCTACATTTTTATGATTTTGCATTCTGAACTAGGTATGTATTAAACCTTTGTTCTGAACATTTTAAAGGATGTATTTTTACTTGCAAGCCAAAATTGTTTGTAAAAAATTTTTTGCAATTATATAAAATGGCATTGACAATATTAGATTTACTTTTCATAAAAAAATAATTATGGTAACCCACTTCCCTTGTACACATTGATCTTTTCAATAAGATATTGACTTTGTTTTTTTTTGTTTGAAATAAAGACGTCATGTTATATCGATTTTTTTTTATTTCTTTACTAAATTTTTGTTTAAAATGTTTACAGATATTTGTAATGTTCAAAAATTAAGCTTTACTGTTCAATGCATAAAAGTATAGGGTCATTAATTCGTTCTTACAATAATTTTGTTAGTCATGCATTGCAACTTTAAATTGACTTCTTTTTTAACCGACTTCAAAAAAGGAGGAGGTTCTCAATTCGACTGTATGTTTTTTTTTGTATGTATGTTACGCGATAACTCCGGTATTTGAGAATGGATTTTCATGATTCTTTCTATAGTGGTCCCATTTCATTTTGAAGAAAATCATCCACCTCGAAGGGTGGCTGTTCACGCATGAAGATTCATTTTTATAGATAGCGCCTAAATTTTACTTAAGGAGCAATTATTTTAATGGTTGATTTTGCTATTCTCCAATTCAAGGCGTTTTTCTCTCTCAGTATACTTTTAGTGAGCCCCGATTTTTATTATCTCCTGTGTCAAGTCCTGTAAAGTGGCGAACTGAGGGGGATATTCCAATAAAACTAAGCAAATAGACGTAATTCCATGTACTTTTGAGGTCGGTTTTTTTAATACTCTGTACTGACATTATTATAATTAGTTCGAGATTGTAGCGAATTCCAACGGGCCGTCTCATTAAAATGTATATGTATATTGTATATGTATAATGTATATGTATATTATTGAACATTAACTTTCGGCGAATGTTTTCTTGTATAGTCAAATCAAATGCTTAAAATACTAGTGTACGTACATAAAAAAGTAAATTATACATAATTATAATAAATTTTTATTGTTTATTATAATGAATCGTCGGATTCTTCTTCATATGAACGGAAATCATCACTTGAATCCTCATTAACATTAACTATTAATTCTTGAGTACACAAATTGTCAAACGCAACATCACGACCACGATCAGGCAATGTCTTTTTTTGAACCCGCTCACATTCACGATTTAAGCTTCTTCAAAATAAAATCGATTGTTATAAAAAAAATCAAATCGGATACGCAATAGGATATCACTAATTGATTAGGGGGTCTACTCTCGATCTCCGTCTGACATCCGTGCGAAACAATTACTGTCAAATAAGTAATATTCGACAACATTAAAAGACAAGTATCAAGAATGAAGCTTCATTCGCATCACGCGTCTTTTCATTTGGTCACGTATTGCTTATTTGGCAGTAATTGTTTCGGACGGAGATCGAGAGTAGACCCCTAGAATTCGAGCTGTCAAAAGTTAAATAAATGGTTGGATGGAGTATAGATATACTTTACTAGATTTTTCATTATGTGTACGATTTTTCTACGTAAATGTACCTATAAATGAAAATAATTGAATAGCCCAACATCTTCTAAACAAAGCAGTGACTAATTCTAATATTTTGCGACTAGAACCGACTAATTCACGATTTTTTCTGGGTGCAATCAGATCTAAGCTAGGAGCTGTGGTTCTCGATATTCAAAAATGGTGCCGCCGGAATAAACTTATTTCAGCGTGGACAGTAAAACACCTTAATAACTTCAAAATGGCGTAACGACTAACTCTAGTTTTTTTACAATAAAAACCGACTAAATCACGACTTTTTTAGTGTAATCAGATCTAAGCTAGGTGTTGTGGTTCTCGAGATTGAGAAATGGTGCCGCTGGAATAAGCTTATTCTAGCGTGGAGAGTAAAACACCCTTATAACTTTTGAATGGCGGACCGACTAAATCTTTTTTTCTGGCTAGTCAAACTTCCAAAACTCGACCATGGTCACGCTGGAATAAGCCACGCCTAAATTACTGAAATGGAGACTCATAATCAAATGCTACTTACGCGTAATTGCACTATCCCCGACGATTTGTTAACCGGTGATTTGTTTTCATGATTTGTTTTTTTTTGTTGGCAAGGGTATGTCTTAGTAGTGGTCCCATTCTGATTTGAAGAAAATATTCCACCTCAAAGGGTGGCAAATTAGGGGATGCATCCGGTTTATTGGATTTCGTTAACCGATTTCAATGTGACTTGACAAGTAGATGTCATTTCACATACTTTTGAGGTCAGTTTTGTTATTAAAAGTTATTTCACATTAACTAAACTATACGTACTATGAGTATCGGTGAAACTCATAGTTAGATAATCTTTATAATTAAATTTTTACTTTAATTTCCTTGCCTATGAATGTAAGCAAATTACACTTGAAATTGTCATATTGATTAAACTCTACCAGTAATTTTCAGGTAAGTTTTTTGTACTCAATTTTGGTGCCTTTTTTATTATTTAATTACTCGAATATACCGTCGTGACATATTAAAGAATATTTCAGGTTACACTCGAATATTAAATAAAACTTCATGATGATATTCCATAAATATTAAAAAAAAAAAAAAATTGTCACCAAAATTGAGTACAAAAACCTTACCTGAAAATTACCAGATTATACGTACATTTAAATACATTTATCATTTCCCACAATACAATATTTATTTCAAACATCTTAGACCGAGAATACCTGCAAGAGCTAAACGGATCACTACTACGGAATTTTGTCATCCAAGTACGCAGTAGCTGTATAATAAATAACCTTAGACTAAAGTTTTTGTTTCACTGTAGTTTAAAACCTCGTAAATGGCAAATTTTGAATATCACCCGGAATCTTATTAAAGAAGCGTATACATTGCCCTTTAAATGAATTTGTGAAGACGACTGTCAAAAACAGCTAGTTTATTTTTATTTCTTTTATTTCTTGAAAACTATTCTGCCGTATCATTACTGTGACAACTGCGCTCTGATTGGCTAGCCCGAGTTCGAAACAATTGACGGGTGTCGTCAATGGATGTCGTCAACTGTTTCATTTCAAATCGACCAGTTAACTTGAGTTTTGCTATAATGGACGAAAATTGCAAAATTACATATGTATTTAAATTTAATTACCGATGAAATGTGATTCCGTTTGTTTTGTAATTAGATGTTTGCTGTTTTTCCCACACCACCTAATAAAACAGCACGGCATTGTTAGAGATATTATCTTTATTACAATAACTACAGAATATTTTTTGGAATATACGGAGACGTACACACAGGTCAGTAGTTGGCTTCATTATATTTCAGTGCAAACAGGAGTTGATATTTATAAAAGCTGTATCGTTAATGTGTTACCAGGAATATATGGCCCTTATTTCGTCTCTATTTCTGGTAATATACTCGATGTGATTGGTACATGACCATTTGTTTGCCGGAAGGAAGGAATTGACAAACTCCGTAAAAATAACCGTAAACTAAAATAAAAAGGGTAATGCCAGTTCTCACACGGTCAGACAGACAAATGAATTTTTGAAGGTGACCAACGTTGACCTATGCGCCACACCGCGTACAGTCCCGACTTGGCACCTGTGACTTTTATTTATTTCCAAAAATTAAGAACCAGTTATGCGTCAACGATTTTCATCACCTGAAGAGGCTGTCGAAGAGTATGAAAAATATATTTCAGAGATTGTCACAGAGGAGCGGCATAAATGTTTTCAAAATTGGTTCATTCGTATGAAAATGTGCATTAACGCTAACGGAGAATATTTAGAGAAGCAATAAATTAATTTCTGACCATTTATAGTATTTTTTCTTATTCATTCCGATAACTTACAGTGCGCCTCAGGTACATACATACATAAACTCACGCCCTGGTCCCACAGGAAGGGTAGGCAGAAACCACGGAACGTTACTTTACTCCATCCTCACACAACTATCGAGGCGCACATACATAAACTTTTCAACCCTTTTCATACAATTTATTTTATTCTTGTTACTTCAGATTCCAGCCTTTTTGAGGACATCACTGGTCTGGTCAATGGAAGTCCTTCTGAGACGTCCTCTCAAAACCCGTCCATCCACATTCGCATCATAAATCTGTTTGGTAATTCTTCTTACGTCTATCCGCTTTACATGCCCAAGAGAAAGAGTAGCTACCCTCCCCCCTCTGGATTTTGTATACCTTCATACTATCTAGTGTTGTCGATAAAAGCTCTCATTTTGCAATACAATATAATATGCGTTAATTAATTAATTAATTATTCCACTGCTACAATTGTAAGGTAATTCAGCACATTCAGACGCATAAAAACGTGGCTGAGATCAACTATGATCGCAGACAGATTAACATTTTTCTTCGCGGTGATCACGAGAGGTAGGTAACCAATTCTACGACTAAATCAACAACAAACCACCTATATGGTGTCCATCTACAGGGTGGAAATTTGTAATGCCACTTGGAAGGAGAGTACGTTAAATACTGGAGATAAAAGTTTTTACTTGAAGGAAACATTCCTTTATTTGAAAAAGAAATAATACTGCATTCAAAGATTTTCGAAAATTGCTAGCCACACGCGGGAATCGAACCCGCTAAAATCTTTAAAAAAATGCACCCTGTACTTTTATTAAATCAATTGATACCGATCGTTGACCGCAATTATGAGAATGAAATCTCTCTTACAAACCATGAAATCTGGAGTTATAAAAGTTACTCAAAATGAAAAGAAAGTCGTTAAAAGATTAAATTTGTGTATCCAAGAAAATGGAGCTCATTTCGAGCAACTAATTAGTTAGATTACCATTTTTTTCGTTTTATTAAAATACGTTAAGATTTCATAGTTTTTTTTTTCATTTAATTAACCAATTTTGTAAGACAGATTTTATTCTTATAATTAACCCTATCGATCGAT